ACGAACGTCGCCATCCACGGATCTTGCTTCACAGAAAGAAAATAGGTTACGATCAGTTTTATTATGTTCAGCAGTTGGCAACTCTGACAGTTAATCGACCGATTAGATTAAATCACGTTGGTGAAACCGGGCCTTAGGGTAAAGCACTAACCTACACCACAAACTGAGGTATATAGGGAAAAAATAAGTCACTGAGACGTGACAAAATGATTCAGAATATAAACCATAAATTTTTTAAAAATATTAGCTTTTATGAGAATGCTGGGTACTCTGATATATTTCTATATATCTATTTTCCATTTAGTTCTATCTTCTTTACTTTCCTTATGCTTTTTTTATCTTCTTTATATAAATTTCATTCTTTAATTAACGATGATGACAAATTGATTCTGAACGAAGAACGATATCATTAAATAATATTCATGAAAACAAAATATTAAAAAATTGTAATTATTGAGTTACATATAATAATAATTTATTTACTCACATATGCATATAATACCATTGTTTTTCACTTTGCTCATCTTTATGCACTTTATGTTTTCATATATTTGTGTCAGTTTTATTTTATTTCAATGCCGCAATGTATTTTGCATTTACATTTAAAAAACATTACTATCATAAATATTTACTACACACACACACACACACACACACAACACACACACACGCACACGCACACGCACACACACACACACACACATATATATAAATGTCAAAAATATCAAAAAATGTCAAATAATTTACACAAGTTCTTCTGCCGTTGATAGCACCGGGCGTTTTAATCTCTGTCCACGCTGCCAGATGACTTCGTCGATTTACATAAGTTGACAGACTACTACTTGAACAGTGTAAAGCGTCGTCTACAATGGCAGTAGGATTAAAAGTGCATTTTCACGTGCCACTGAAACTGATTGACATTTGAGCGACAAAAATGATCACGACTTTTGTCGCTAAACTATTACAGCGGCAACTTGTGCACAAAGTGAAAAAAGATTGCAGCGATAAAATTCTGCTGTAGAAAGCAATAATCCCAGCAAACACAGAATATTGCGGCAATATTACAACATTGCAGCAATGTTGCGGCAATGTAATAGCTGTAATATTTTGGTTTGCTGGGATGATAGCTTCTAAAAGAAGAAAATATTATAATTGAATATCAAATTGTAATAAAATAATTCGACGAAAACGTCAAATACAATTTGAAAATGATATCGTTTTTGTTATATTACTATCGACATATCAGAAACAAAAAAGACATTATTGAAAAAAAAAATTTTGGGTCGCACCACTTTTTCAAAATCATAATCAATATGGATTTTACAAAGCTATTTTACCGAATATGAGATTAGAAAGTGCAAGATTGGGGATTGCCCGATTAGACACAGTACGAATAAACACAGCCAATTATATCGACCGATGCCTAGGGTAACCAGCACGATCAAGCACAATTAGCCAATCAAAGCCAGTTGTGTCCAATTGTACTGTGTCTAATTGGAGGTGTCTTGCAAGATTTCTGAATTATTTTCATATGTCATCAACGCAACTGGAAAATTTATTACATTTTTATTTTAGTACATACAATTAATACAGCACGGCAGCATTGTTAGCAATGTATCAGCGTTTGACACATCGTTTGAGCGATAATGCTTTGTAATTGAACCGATCTAAACTATAAAATTGTAGCTGCTGAATTAAGGCCTTTGCACGTACAAAAATTTTAGTCGTAACCGTAAGATCGTAAGAAAACTGACCAATCACAGTTGATTATTCTTTTATCGCAGAAAGAATACTCGACTATGATTTATTAGTTTTCTTACGACCTTACGGTTACGACTAAAATTTTTGTACGTGCAAAGGCCTTTATGAGCGATAAATCTGTCGCTTCAACTATTTGTTCCAGCGGTATGTGAAAATGCACCTTGATGGATTAAAGCTGTAACTCAAGAAATAAACCAATCACAGTCGAATATTTTTTTGATGCTTGACTGTGATTGGTCAATTTCTTAAGTTACTGCTTTAATCCATTAATCCTACTGCCATTGTAGACGACGTGTAAAGGCTATAGGCCGCAGCACACACTTTTGCATAAGCGTATAACCATAAGCATAAGGAAATTGATTGGTCCTCAAGTATATACATAAGAAAATGAACCAATCAATTTTCTTATGTTTATGGTTATGCGCTTATGCAAAAGTTTGTGCTGCGGCTTTAAGGTGGAAGCACATAAAATTGCAGAAGCACATAACCATAAGAAAATTGATTGGTTTATTTTCTTATGCATATATTTGTGGACCAATCAAATTCCTTATGCTTATGGTTATGTGCCTATACAATTTTATGTGCTTTAAGGTTTAGGGCCTATCCAGACAAACTTGCATAGGTGCATATGCATAACATAAGACCATATGGACCAATGAGCATCAAGTATTATGTTATGTAAGTCAATATAGCGATTTAATACTCGATGCTCATTGATCCATATGGTCTTATGTTATGCATATGCACCTATGCAAGTTTGTCTGGATAGGCCCTTATAGCACACACTTTCCATAAGACATAACAGTAAGGTTTCGACCAATCGCTCAATTTGGTTACGGACAGTCAAATTGAGCAACGCGATTGGTCGAAACCTTACTGTTATGCTTATGAAAAGTGTGTGCTATAGCCTTTAAGCCTTGTTTACATTGGACGTAGGACGTAACGTAGACATAGACGTAGACGTAGACGCAGACGTAGAAATTCTTCGTGGTTAACATTGAAGTACTTTTCAGTATGTTCGACTAATGATCGTGGTCCTTATAACCAATCATAGAGCTGCATCCTTAACCTTACTTTTATTTCGAAAGTTTATTGTGTTTGTTTTGCGAGTATCAGTGATTGTATTTTCGAATACGAAGTAAAAAAGATGAGCGAAGAATTAGATCGTCGGTTAATTTTAATGGTGGAGAGTAATCCCCATTTATACGATAAAAAATGACCGGGTTATAAAGACAAGGTACTCTGCAATAATTCATGGAAGTCTATTGGCGATCGATTGAATATCAGCTGTAAGTCTACAATTGTTGTTTTAATTTGTCGAATTGTTTAATAAAAAAATAATAAAATATTTAATTTATTTGCAGCGGAAGATGCTATGCGACGTTGGAAAGTTCTAAGAGAACGTTTCAGCAAGGTTAGGAGGCAAAAAGCAAACATTCCTTCTGGGTCTGGTGCATCGTCAGAAAACCAGGAGATTGAATGGTCTTTATATAATACCCTACTATTTTTACAACCCCATGTACAAAATAGAAAGTAAGAATAACTTTTGTAGTATGTTCTATTTTGTTGTACTTAGTGCAATATACAGGGTGTCAATTAAGTCCCGGGACGGCTGAATATTTTCTCATGTAAGGTATTTTTGAAAAAGGTCAAGGTCATTTCTGAAGTAATTTTCAACGAGGAATTCAACGGTGACCTTCAATTTGACCTTGAGCTTGACCTTCAAGGTTATTTGAAGGTCAAAGTGTTTTTTTTAAATAGGAACCCCTATTTTTGATTGTATATTCTTATAGCTGACCTCGAGAGCTTTCCAAAACACTATAATAAAATATTTTTCCCTCAAGCATTTATCGAGTTATGATGCTTCAAATCATTTCTTAATTTTACATAAACCGTAAAATATCTTGTAAAATATTCACTTTTCGATTATTTTACCTTAATACTTTTATGTACAAAATAATGAGAGGAATCAATTGGCGTAAAGAAAACATATAGTTGTTTTTAAGAAAAAATATGGAATTGTTAATTGCAAATTACATATTTTTTCTTAAAAACAACTATATGTTTTCTTTACGCCAATTGATTCCTCTCATTATTTTGTACATAAAAGTATTAAGGTAAAATAATCGAAAAGTGAATATTTTACAAGATATTTTACGGTTTATGTAAAATTAAGAAATGATTTGAAGCATCATAACTCGATAAATGCTTGAGGGAAAAATATTTTATTATAGTGTTTTGGAAAGCTCTCGAGGTCAGCTATAAGAATATACAATCAAAAATAGGGGTTCCTATTTAAAAAAAACACTTTGACCTTCAAATAACCTTGAAGGTCAAGCTCAAGATCAAATTGAAGGTCACCGTTGAATTCCTCGTTGAAAATTACTTCAGAAATGACCTTGACCTTTTTCAAAAATACCTTACATGAGAAAATATTCAGCCGTCCCGGGACTTAATTGACACCCTGTATATGGAATAATGTTATGTACAGGACAATTGGTAACTTAGCATTGAGTGCCAGTCAGAAGAATAAATTTTCAGACAATATTCTTGATGTCGACATCGACAAGAACCCACCAGAAACTCAGTTAGATTTATTGGACGAATCAGTAGAATTCATAGATGAAGATGTTCGCAGCTACCTGTTAAATATAAAAGAGGAAACAGGGGACAACGGAACTTCGAAATGTACCGAAAAATTGGATTCCAATAAGAAACGACCATTGTTGGAGATAGAAAATCAACAAAAGAAGAAAAAGAAACCTCAACCTTTACCTCCTGAGGAACGTCTTATCTCCATGCTCGAAGGCGTAGAAAAAACAATCGTAAAAAGAGGCGATGCAAAAGATGATGTTCTTTGGAATTTTTGCATTTCATTATACGGATCGATGAAAAAAATGACAAAGACAAAAGTGAAAGACATGAAATTCAAAATTTCTCAACTTCTCTATGAATTCGAGTCTGACTCGGAAAATTAAGGTATACGATACGTATATAATATGTCATAAATATTAGTTTAAAAAGTAAAAATAGTTTATTACATAAATTTACATACTTTTACATATTGTTTATTATACAAATTGTACTTCTTTGTTACAGCAACAGAACAATCACGATTTGCTGAACACAAGACCAAAGAAAGGATATATCCAGTGAGAAATGGTACGTCGAATTGATGTGATTTGCTGTACCATTTCTCACTAAGTATGTATTGTTATATGTTGTGATAAATGCATATATATATTGATAGTTAATATCTGAAAATATATTTATACATTTTAAAAACTTCCTCGTTTTACATAATTATACTGCCAATCTACTTTTCCTTCTGGCGACACAAGATAATCAGCAAGGGTATTTCGTAAATCAATATCCGCTCGTGTAGAACGATTTGTCCCTGTGCGACCTAATTCATCAATCTGAGGACAGTTTACTCGCCAGTCACCAAGAATGACACATCCTGAATCATCATAACGATCTACATAATTATCTGGACAATAATAACGCTGCTTACTTGACAATTCTTCTATTTTAACGAAGTTATGTAAACATAATGTAGCGCATACAATTCTTTCAATTGTACTAACACTGGCAATTATGTTAGTATGTAGAATTCGCCACCGACTGGCTAAAATGCCAAAGGTATTTTCAATAACGCGTCGAGCACGTGATAGGCGGTAATTAAAAATTTGTTGTTTTTCTGATAAATTTGTTCCGGGATAAGGCCGCATTATATAGTGCTTAAGTGGAAAGGCTTCGTCTGCAGCCACAAAATACGGGAACGCGATATTAGTTCCACGTAAATTGGTAGAACCTGGAAGGCCTAATTCATTATTATCCATAGCTTTCCCAAATGCCGATTCTTTAAAAATGCCACCGTCGCTTTGAGATCCGAAAGCACCGACATCAACAAGTGTAAACAAATAAAAAGCATCGCAAACTGCCATTAGAACTATACTAAACGTTTTTTTATAGTTAAAATACTGCGAACCCGATTTTTTTGGAGCTTGAATCGTTATATGTTTCCCGTCCATCGCACCAAAACAATTAGGTAAATTCCAGCGATACCAGAACTCCGTTGCTTTAATTTCCCATTCTTCAGTAGTTGGTGGTTTTAAGTAAATTGGGGATAATTCATCCCAGATAACTGCACAAGTCTCTCGTATTACGTTGCTGACTGTGGACTTGGAAACACAGAAGCTCCATGCAACTACCTGCATGCTCGGTCCATGGGCAAGATAACTAAACAAATACGTATAATTATCTAATAACATATGCTTAACTCAAGAATAAAAATCTGAAAAATATATTTATTATAATACTCACTACAATGTCATAACCAGCCGAAACTCCGGACTTAATGGCTTTCTTGGACTGATTTTTATTAATCTATGTTTAAAAATATCCAGCAACTTTTCAAATTGGTTGACTGTCATTCGAGTGTACTTAAAAAATTGTTCATCATCTTTTTCTTTTATATATTGGAACAATATATAATATTGACTCCGTTTTACCCGATTTCTCAACAGCGGACGAACCCACCATCGTCGCTTGTTATGAACTTTTTTTTTTTGCAAAGATCTTAAAATCATACCCACTGCAGTGAAAATTAAAGAAAATCTTAATAATTCTAATTTTTCAATTTCATACATTTTATAAAAGTGAATATATCAATCGTGGTACAGTTTAGAGGTTAACCGGTAAGTGTCCGCGCAAATGGTATACACCGGGCATCCCTCTTGTGATTGGCTGGACGTAGAAAAATATTAAAAATTTTAAAATTCTACGCCTACGTCTACGGCTACGTCTGCGCTTAAGTTTCAATATGGACGGTAACATGCTATTCCTATCTTTCCAATTCTTACGTCTACGTCTACGTCTACGTCCTACGTCCAATGTAAACAAGGCTTTACACGTCGTGTAAATCTTAAGCCGGGTCTATAATGGTCGTAGCATAAAACGTCGTCTACTATTTTAAAGAGACTTAAGGCGTAAGACTTAAGAAATTGATGAATCACAATCGAATATTCTCTTAATACTTGACTGTCTTTGGTCAATTTCTTAAGTCTTATGCCTTAAGTCTCCTTAAAATCTCATTGTAGACGATGCTTTAGGTTGGCGTAAGGCGTAAGGCGTAAGACTCAAGAATTGACCAATCACAGTCGAGTATTCTCTTAATACTTGACTGTGATTGGTCAATTTCTTGAGCTTAAGGCTGGTTTATAGAGGCTGTAAGGCCGGGTCTACAATAGGTAATTTAAGCCATAAGCCTTAAGAGATTGACCGATCACAGTCAAATATGAAGAGAATACTCGATTGTGATTGGTCAATTTCTTAAAGCTTAGGGCTTAAATTATCCATTGCAGACCCGGCCTAACTATTAATTTATGCCGGAACTGGTAAAGTTCAATATTGGAATTTCAATGCTTTTATTCATGCTGAAAGCATTAAGCTTAAAGGCTTTCGCACATAAATTGTCATAACCATAAACGTAAAACGTAAACGTAAGCTGAAGAATCAATCAGAATATTGCTTTAGCTTTATGTATCCTACAAGACGATGGAAATGATAATGGGTGCTTTCCATTTAGCGACACAAGTCGACACAAGTGTCATTCTATCTTTGTTTATTGTTATTCATTGAAAAAAGATAGAATGACACTTGTATCGACTTGTGTTGCTAAATGGAAAGCACCCAATAAAGTTTCAACCGGTTGAAATCCTAGTTACTTCTGCTTACGGCCTTTATCATCATTTATCTTCACTTTATCATCAGGATATATAAAGCTAAAGCAATATTCTGATTGGTTCTTCAGCTTATGTTTACGTTTTAGGGCTCGTCCCGATGGAGAAAGAAATAGCGGAACGGAATAGTAACGGAAAGATAACTAGACTAATCAGAATGATTCCGTTCCGTTTTTTCGCGGTCCGATTTCCCATGGCACGGAACTATTACGGAACGGAAAAGAAACGGAAAAATTTCTAACCTTGATATTGAAAGTTTGCGAAGTTTGTATCTTATCTTTTAACACACATCTCGGAAAAACTGTAATATATAAGTTGCTAATATATAATATAAATAAAACTTTCTTATAACATCAAACATACTATATAAAACAAGGGTCTCTAAGGTTTAATACTTATTCTTTTATTTATGTATCCTGTGTTACTAACAATACAGCTTTACAAACAGCTACAAACAGTATTATATAGATAAATTAATAAACATATCTAACCAAAGTATGTTGTAAGAGGAAAACTATTAAGTAACAAAAATTGTTATTAAATAAACTTTATTATTTAAATTCTCTGTATTATATGAACATATAATTTATTATATTGATTAATATATAAATAGTTGACTGTATTAGATAAACTGTCTAATAAACAATACATCTGTTTAACAGACTATACTTGATACTATACTTGGCAATCAAAATAAAACGATTTATATAAGACAAACATAAAGACTATTAAATTATTGTATTGCACAAGTCATCAGTATTGTAACAAAAAAGTATTTTGCAAAAATACCATAAACAAAATAAAAACTAAAAGAAAATGCAGAATATGCAACTTATTGTGTCAATCTTCTTGTTATATTATAAAGAAATCAGTCTTATTAAAATATATTTATCCAGACAGCACAGGACATTCTATGGACATTCATTTTATATCCATTTTACGTCCGCACGTCCATAGACATAAAATAAACGTCCATCGTACATCCGATTTAAGAAATCTATTAATAGTCAATATTTGGACGTCCACAAGATGTCTGGTCTTGGAGGTCAAAGTTTCTCGCGAGCATGCAAGCATGTATTAATTCGTTCGTTTACCGCTACGTGACGTGCGATGCGCTATCTTTCTCGTATTTAAGTTTCAGTTATGAGAATTATATAAAGTTTGCAAAAGGTAACAAATAAAATTGAAAATGTATTGTTCAATTTAATTTCTGATCTAAAAGCATGGGTTTCAGATATTAAATTGATTTTATAAGTCGGACTTTATAAGTAAATGTCCGGCGAATAAACGAAAATAATTTTTCATTATCTATTTAAGATGTAAAGTGCAATATGCAAGTATAAATTATAAATAAAATTTTTATATAAAATTTTTATATAAAATTTGTATGTAAAATTTTTATGTAAAATTTTATATGAAATAGATAAATTATATTATTATTTGGGGATTGAAATATGTTTCGTTTAAAAATTATGATATGTTTAAATCATAAAAGTTGTTCTTTTTTCACACATATAATACACATTTTTTTTAAATTATCTGTTTTATAATCGTTTTGTGCAAAAAAAGTAACATTTAAATAATATGTGATATTGCATTAATGTATATGTGATATAAATTTTCTTTAATAAATGTATTGCTTAAAAAAATATATATTTCATCTTTTTAATATGTAAATTCAAATTTTGTATGTAATCTCTTTTTCATCTCCTTATTACGTCCATATAAAGTCCGTTTTGTATATCTGTTATTGCTAATTTATGTCCATTAGTCGTCCATCGGATGTCTTTTGGACACGTCAGGGATTAAATTATGTCCACCAATTTCATATTTGGATATGCTATGGATATCCAGTGTATATTTGAGGAACATAAAACGGACATTTTATGGATATTTTCAATATCCTTCAAGGATATTTGTAGAATATTTTATGGATATCTGTGTGCTGTTTAGGTAGTTATCACATCTTGTGTTTGTTATTTCTCATTTTCCTCTTCTACTTCATATAGTCTTGAATTCTATTTCTAATTTTAATCGTGATTTGTAAGATAATCTATGTAAGCCTTCTGCCAAACGTAACATAAATCTATCTATAGGATTTGCTTCTGTTTTTTGTGTTAAGGAATTAAAAAGAGCTTCTTCGTAATCGTCTAAATCAATCCTTTTCCTCTCTGTAACAAATGAATGTATAAATAAATTATTCATTCGCTAATTTAAGTTGTACATAATAAATACTAAAATTCATACTTTTTGATTTCGTTGATATCGGAGAAACTGGAGACAGTGATGTAGACGTATTATTATTAGTGATAGGAGATAAGAATATTATTGATATTGTCGCTTGTTGTCGATGTAGAAGGAATACTGTTACTATTTGAACTGCAAGGAGTATTCCCACATAGCATAAGATCTCCATCGGACATCCTCATTTGATCGAAATGATCCCATTTTGATCCAAATTAAAAAGTCACCCACAGGATTACCTGAGGATATCTCGTATAACATAAGATCTCCGTAGAACATCCTGATTTGAACGAATAATCCGAACGATATAGACGATAAAAAATCATCCGTAGGACTTACTGAGGATATATTTCTGATTGTCATATATATATATTAATGTAAAACACCCTTTATCTAATTTGAACACAGAACAATTGTAATTTTATGCACGCACGTCACACACATATCACACACAATACAAATAAGTTTCAATCAATCCGTTGTATTTTCATATCTTTCCATGCCTTTATACCAGTGTCGTAAAGGCTATAGCACACACTTTCCATAAGACATAACAGTAAGGTTTCGACCAATCGCTCAATTTGGTTACGGACAGTCAAATTGAGCAACGCGATTGGTCGAAACCTTACTGTTATGTCTTATGGAAAGTGTGTGCTATAGGCTTAAGCGGACCGACGCATGCGCGAAAAATCCGATCCGACAATATCTTTTGGTGTATCAACACTGTTTTATGCACGTGCTTGTGATTCTTACGAAGAAGGTAAAACGAAAAAAGATAACGGAGACTAACGTTCAAACTATTTGAGAAATATACAAGTAAGTATTATTATAAAAATTATTATATATATATATATAAAATCTTAAATTATTGTTTTGGTATATGCAGATTGTTGGTTATCATATAGGTTATGTTTGAGACATCTTAATCGAATATCATTATAATTTTTATACAGTGATGGGAAAAAGTTCCGGGACGGCTGGATAATTTGAAAAATACGCATCACAGAGGAAAATGACCTAGACAAAAGTTGTAGGATTTTTCCCGGGCAATCCGACGGTGACCTTAGATTTGACCTTGGATGGTCATTTGAAGGTCACATAAAGATTACCTTCAATTTCTTAAATGGAACTCCCTATTTTTCATTACATATTCTTGTAGCTTATCTCGAGAGCTTTCTAAAACACTATAATTAAGTACCTTTTTATTAAGTACTTTTTGAGTTATAAGGCTTGAAATAATTTCTTAATTTTACATAAACCATAAAATATCTAGTAAACCATTCATTTTTCGATTATCTTACCTTCATACTTTTATGTACAAAATAATGAGAGGAATCAATTGGTGTAAAGAAAACACATAGTTGTTTCTAAGAAAAAATATGTAATTTGCAATTAACAATTCCATATTTTTTCTTAAAAACAACTGTATGTTTTCTTTACACCAATTGATTCCTCTCATTATTTTGTACATAAAAGTATGAAGGTAAGATAATCGAAAAATGAATGGTTTACTAGATATTTTATGGTTTATGTAAAATTAAGAAATTATTTCAAGCCTTATAACTCAAAAAGTACTTAATAAAAAGATACTTAATTATAGTGTTTTGGAAAGCTGTCGAGATAAGCTACAAGAATATGCAATGAAAAATAGGGGGTTCCATTTAAGAAATTGAAGGTAATCTTTATGTGACCTTCAAATGACTATCCAAGGTCAAATCTAAGGTCACCGTCGGATTTCCCGGGAAAAATCCTACAACTTTTGTCTAGGTCATTTTCCTCTGTGATGCGTATTTTTCAAATTATCCAGCCGTCCCGGAACTTTTTCCCATCACTGTATATCCTTGTAGTATTAATTTTTTCAATATAAATAATATTTTTAATTTTCTTAAAATATATTTTAAACAACTGCTTTTTCATTTGCTTATAAATCATGAAACAAAATTTACATGAGCTACAAAAGCTGATCTGCGTACATCAGAACATTAATTGTAAATTTTATTGAGATTAATATATATAATGAGAATTAATAATTATGAATTATGTAATGAGATAATTGATACGGTATTCATAATTTATATAGTATCAATGTTTTTATGAATTTAAGAATTATAATTTTCAGATTTAATTAAGAAAAAAGAATCTTTTGTTAGAAAAATTATGGAAAATTACAAAAAAAAACGCAAACGGCTCTGTGAAATGTCAAATAGACATTTGAGGAGACTCGTGCAAAATGAAATAAATGAAATAAATTTGTTAGAATATAATGATCAAGATAAACTGTCTAAAGCATATACAATGCCAAGTACAAGTAAAAGTGCCAAAATGTTTTGTGCGAATGAATCTGACCATCCTAGAGAAATTGTATACAATGAAACTATAAATGATAATAAAAACATGCTGCATAATTCAAATAAAATAACAAATAATGCAGTCAATTTAAATGTTACTGAGAATGTTAAAGAGAGTGAAGAAAAAAGCTTTAAATCCTCCATACGTGACTGGGCTATAACTAACAATATTAAACATGTTGCATTAGCTGGACTTTTCAAAATTCTTCGTACTCACCCAGTGAGAAGGCTGATGTCGACTCGATGTCGATTCAACGTCGATTCACCGAAAACTCATCGACATCGAAATTGACTTCGAAAATCAGCCGATTTCGATCAAATTGTTTTGACATCAGGAGTTGCTTTTTTCTAAGTTATTTGTGTTCAAAACCCGTAATTTTGTCTACAATTAAGAGACTCATTATATGAGAGAGTATATATGCAGACAATCATCGATTCAATATCGATCGACATCGAATCGATAACCGATGATGATTAGATGTGGCGCTACTGGCGCTACTGGCGCTATTAATATTATTTTCCGCGGACATTGTTGTAACGGCGCGGTCTGCGTTTCTATCGGCGTTTCTTGTTGTGAAAGCGTATACGTGTGCGAACGTATGCTAGTTCACGCGACCGTTCAATTTCTTTGCGTTGATAGCGATAGTGCGTTGGACGTGTGTTATATACAAGCAATTTAACAAGTGGTCAAGCAAGTGGTCCTAAGCAACAACTTGGGAAGAATCTCAGCATTGACGCGAAGTGACGGGAATTAAGTTTTCCGAGAACCATGTCGAGTGACGATCAGCGTCCAGTAAGTATTTTCAGTTATGTTACATTTATGGATTATTTCTAGATTAGGGTTACGTTCCGACATTGAGCAAAATTTTCCTTGGAAAAGATGTTTCGGAACATAACCTAAGTATCAGTAATTAAGCGGCAGCACACTGGCACCACACTGAGGGCGGCATTGAGAGCTTATTTTTGTTTACTGATGTTGATTTCCTCTGTAATGTTCTTCGTTTATTAGTTTATTGAACTATGGTTTCCTCCTCTTTCTTTTATAGAAAAGCGAAAAATATTCTATTTCTTTAAATTGACTCTCCATGCATATAATTTTCTGTGTTTTTTCCAAGTTTCTGTGAAAATGGTTCGTACATCGTTGATTGGAACTTCTATGGTTGGATCTTCTTGTTCGTTAGCTCTTTCTTTGGCAAGAGTTCGTAATCTCATTTCCTAAATCTAAACACTTCATAAAACCTAGATGAACTGGTATTCATACATAAATATATAATTTTAATTTTATATCGATTTGTGAGTTCAAAGTATAATTTCTTGATATCTAATATATTTATTTGTATAAACGTTTAGCCTATTGTTGTTGATAATCATCAAAACACTGGTAATCTGTCAGTATTATTGCTGTTTTTAATTTTCATATTAAATTAATCTTTTAGAATGCTGTCTGAAAGGCTTTTGCGATGAGCATATTTTCAATAAACTTATGTAATTACCTCTCTTTTACAGACTCATAAAAAAGAATTCCATCTAGTTGTACATGGAACAATAAGATAGTATTTGTATTTACAAATACTTTCTATCATATTTGAAGCATTTGTTGATCTATGACAGATGTTTCACAATGCAGTTAACTTTTCAAACGTTGAATTATAAATTTGTTAATAAGCTGTTTTAAAAGCTTTTTGAACATCTACGGTGGCAATCAAATTTAATGCCTCAGCATTTTCTTTGTGGGTAACAAAGAAAATGCTGATGCAAATGAATCATATAATATCATCGTTCTGTCATTAGAAAATTCAAGAGTTTGAAAGTCGGAAATATTGTGCACTGAAATAGTACACTATTCATCATCATTAATAAAATCAATATCTTGTGTGTTTTTAATTTTCAGTGATAGAATACACTCTGAAAGATTTTACAAAATTGCTGGCATTTTCAATTAATGCCAACTAATTTTCTCCTAACTATGTACATTAAATGATTTGTGTATTTCAGTAAGCAGACATTCAATTTTTCGATGTGTATGTGAGAATTAAATTCTTCTAAATCCTAATAACAGAACGTCTATTTAAATTTTCATCTGTATAATAGCATGTTGCTTTCATAACTTTTTGATTGTTACTCCATATATATATTGTAGTACAAACATAATCAACTTGACTGAATATTTGTTGTAATCTATTTAACATTTGCTTCTTTCCATCCTTTAAATGATTTAGTGTCGTTTTATAAGAAAAATTTAAACGGGGTAATGTTATCTATTAACACATAAAAAGTTTTTTACAAATATGATTCTATACAAAATTTTACCATTAAAATCTTATTACAATTTCACCTACTCGTACTATGGTGCGCTTATAAAGTTTCTGATTATTATAGTATTTAAGCCTTTTTTTATCGAAATTTGAGAAATTAAGCCACAAATTAAATTTTTCTTTACTATATACAGATTTCCTATATACTGTAATTAGATTGAGACATTTTTTGTTTAGTATTAGCAGGTTACGTATTCAGTGTCTTATGAATGTGATCTCACTAACATATTCTAACTAACTTTTTAGAACTATTGAGTAATTTCACTCTTTTTCTTTATTTTCCACTTTTTAAGATGAGTTCGAAATCTTACAAGCGGAGGCTACGACGAAAAGCTGAAAGAGAGGTATCTAAAAGATTCAAAGTTGATGAGATCATGAGCAAAGTCAATACAAGAAATGCTATAACAAGTGACGCGGATAGTGAATCTTCTGATTGCAATCTCTCGTATGTCGACAGTATAGATGAATGTGAAATGCGTTATCTAGAACAAGAATCTGTACCAAATAATGATGCTTCATCAAGTGAAGAGGAAAATAATAGAAGTGATTCATTATCAAGTGCCAATGATGAAAATGATGATAATAGGCCTGGTGTAGATTTTGTCGATAATAATGAGAGAAATGTTGTAGAATTTGAAAATGATACTGAAAGAGAAGAATATATTATTGAAACTGTTCGTGAGTGGGCATTAGAGGCAGGACATCTATCCATGAAAAAATTGAATGATCTTCTCAATAGACTTCATGTAGTTTTTCCACGAATGCCCAAAAACTATAAGACACTACTTCACACTCCTGTTCATATTAATGTAGTTGAATTTGATGATGGGTGTAAGTTTTGGTACAAAAGTATTTCGACTAATCTGAATGCTATGGATCTGAGAAAGTATTTTCAAAGATATGATTGTATCAAGATTGATGTAAACATAGATGGTTTACCTTTATTTCAAAGTTCGAAGAAGAAGTTCTGGCCTACTTTGGGCTATCTTGTTGGTACCGAAAATGAGCCATTCATTATTGCTTTATATTTGGGCAAGCAAGATCCTAAAAATTCGGCAGAATTCTTGTATGACTTCGTTAATGAGGTTGAAAATTTGCTAGAAAATGGATACATTTACAATGGGGTAACGTACCAGTTTGAAGTTCGAAATTACATACTAGATGCACCCGCTCGATCATTAGTAAAATGCACTATAGGTCATTCGGGCTATGCATCATGTGAAAAATGTACTGTTGTTGGTCAACATGTTGATGGAAGGAGAACTTACATGCAACTTGATGAACCTCTGAGAACGGATCAGTCATTTCGTAACATGAGTCAGCGACTTCATCATACTGGTGTGTCTATTTTGTCGAGAAATACTAACATGATATCTCAGTTCCGCCTTGATCCAATGCATTTGATTTGGCAAGGAGTTTGGAAGAGACTGCTTAAGGCATGGATCCTGTGGAATGGGCCTTGGCAATTGGAAGTTAATGCAGTCCGCGAAATATCTGCTATTCTTGAAAATGATTTATCTCAAACATGTCCACAAGATTTTGCTAGGCCTCCAAGATCATTGATAGAATGGAATCTGTACAAGGCTACTGAGCTTCGACGAATGTGTCTCTATGATGGCATTTTTGTGTTCAAAAGATATCTTCATGAAAATGTGTATAAACATTTTCTCTTATTGCATTCTGGTCTTTATATTCTCTCTAGTCTAGTTCTGGTTCGTTCAATGTTAGAAACTGCTAATGAATTGTTACGACTCTTTATACGCCATTCTGTCAACATTTACGGGCAGAAGTTTGTAGTATATAATGTCCATGCTCTCTGCCATCTGACCGCTGAATGTGCCGTATATGGACAGCTCGAAAACTTCAGTGCTTTTAAATTCGAAAATAGATTAAAATCCCTTAAGGCAGTTCTCCGATCAGGGTATCAACCGTTGCAGCAAGCAGCTTATAGAGACCTTGAAAGGTCTGCACGTGTTACTGTTCATTTGTCTTCTAATGATAAGCATGTTACTCTTTCTCAAGAGCACAGAGATCCAAATGAAGTCATGATTGGTACGCACTTCAGACGATTGTCAGTTGGTAAAATTTTTTTCCAGCTAGGAAGGAAAGATTCATGTTTACGAACTGTTGGTGGAGACATTGTTGTATTGAGGAACATTGTTCAGAATGAAGATGGCATTTTTCTGATTGGAAATATGTTCCTTAATGTTGAGAACTTCTACACATATCCTCTAAACTCATCTATTCTAGGCATTGTTCGTGTATCTGAGAAAGAATATGTTAGAAGAAGTTTTGCTCTGACAGACGTTGAGTCAAAATGTTGGCTAATGTCAGATGGTGATGCATTTCTGTGTGTGCCTTTGTTGCACACAATGCCCCTATTCTAAGTATTGCATGTATTCTGGCAAATCCCTACTATATGTATATATGTATATATATCTTGTTTTTTTAAAGATTATAATTTTCTCACATTATCTTTTATTTCTAACTTTTTATCTCTCTCTCTCTCTAATTCTTTTCTTCTCTCTCATTTCCTTCCTTCTTCCCCTATTCTTTTCTTTTTTTTCTATATCTTTCATCCACCATTTTCCTTCTCCCTTCTTTTCTAACAACCATCCTCCCTGCTGCCATTGTATATCTACATAATCTTCTTTGCATCGTTTTTAGTTCGTTGTCATCAAATTTATTAACAAAACAGAAAAAGAATCAAATGGCGACACAGTTTATGAGGTGGGCCTCGCCAAATGGATTGTTGACTTAAACGAGGACATGATGGGTACGACAAAATGGCCTCCTTCTTCCGTAGATGCTGGAAAACTTATAAGGAAGGAAACTTCCCCAGATCCAAATTGGCCAGTGTGCTATGTTGAGGTGATAAGGTACTTCGGTAAGTTTGATTGCACAAGTTAACTATATGAGTCATGCTTTTAGTCTAATTATTATTACTTTATTTGCATCCAGATACTATAAAAAGAGCTAGAGAGATGTTGAAGAGATTGGTGGATGAAGGACTAACTTCCTACGAGACTGAAAGAGAATTGGGCCGGGGTAAAAGGAAGAAACGACCACCTATTATATATACCGATGATGATGAGGATTCAGATGTTCCAAAATACAATAAAAAGAAACAGTCTCTGTCTGATGACAGCGACTCAGATTTGGTTCAACATAAGAAAATTAGAAAGTTTGGCAAGTCAAAGAAGATAGATCAAGATATACCGGCACCACCATCGTTGTCCTTTCAACACAAAACCCCTAGTAACATAAGCCCAGATCAGAATGACAGGAACAGAAAAATTATTGTGACTGTTGCACATAAAAACACGGGAACTGCTTCATCTTTAATAGAGAAAATTAAAAGTCGAAAAACTGAGCGGCAAGTTTTTCAGAACCTAAAAGAAGAGAATCTCGAAAATGCTCTTAAGAAGCAGAAGAGCACATTAACTGTTCCTCAGCTGAATGTATGTGCCAAAAGCCCTTTGCAACAAATGAATGTCACACTGTCCGAAAACAATGTTAATAGTATGGGAGATGAGAAGGAAAATATGATTAATGAATCTGAAGTTGAGTCCAGCCTTGGAATCCCTTTTGAACGGCAAAGCCCAAGTTCAAGAGACACAGAAGTGGTTCGGCCGAGTTGTTATACACCTTTGAGGTCTCCATTGTTGCACAGGATGAGTCCTAGAAATTCTGAAATCTTTCGTCATCAGCAATATAATTGTCACCGGAAAATGTCACAAGATGATAATGATGCTGAGAGTCTTTCCTTTGGTAATTATATTGTATTATGGTCAGTTGTTGGCCCTATTTATATTTTTATATTAATTATATTAACAGCTTAGCGAAAAATTAAAATTTTCGCTCTCGTTGACTCTCAAACCGAAAATCACAGATTATATATATCTTTGAATTTCAAGAGCCGAAATATAATAATTTCAATTAATTATATTATTTAATTTCAGATATCAATAAGAGCATTAGAGAAATAAAATCTCTATGCAAAACTACACTTGTGCGAGTGGAAGAATTGAGCAGTAAAGTTGATGTCACAATTATGAATCAGACGCGACTCAACCGGTCTCTTCTTCCAGCTGAGAAAAGAATTATTCGTCCATCAGATCTACCGGCTCTTCCTGTTTATACAGAGGATGATCTGAAAGCTATGGAGAGATTTTTGGAAGACGAATCTAATTTGTCAGCAATGGTAAGTTTAAGGATGTTTTGTATTGATTTTTCACGTGTAATATGGAGTCTCTCTACACAAACATATCCGAAAATGATGCCTCTGATTTTTTGTATTTACTCTATACATGCTTAATTCTACTTGCACTGTTTTATATCCCTATGCCAGCGAACTGTAAATGTAATTGTTTGATTTTTAGGTTCATTATTTGGCTTCATTTTCCTTGAATAAAATTGAAGGAAAAGCAGCTGCTCAAGTTATGGCAAAGTTGATATCTAATGTACTGGCCTGTTCCTACAATTTTAAGGGTACTGACGGAAGTGGAAAAAAAGGCTTTCAAAATCTGCATCTTTGGGAGGTGGTTCAAGGTATGCATTTAAAGGTTTTTGAAGATTATTGAATATTTGAATAGTGACTTTTTCTTGCTATTAGAATATATATATACTGGAAATGTAAAGTATATCTACAATTTTCTTCCACTGTTTATGTATACAATATGGGTGTAACCATTTGGGAATTAATATATATATTTTGAATAATTCATATCTTGAAATATCAAGCTGATGCGTATTCTTTGATGTAAATATATCAACTCGATTTGATCATTGCTTTCCTAAATTGTGTCATTAAGGACTGAATGGATAGTCTGTAAACTGTATTGGTATTTATTAGCAGAAAATGTAATTATATGTCATATATTTCAGGTGTGATACAAATGCGATTTCCTGAGAGTGATCTCTCAGATGCCAAAGATTCTGTGATGTCCTGGTTGCGAAATGCTCCCTGGCGGAAGCAAGAGAAAGGATCTAACACTGGGAAGAGGAAGAGCAAGAGCTTTTTAAAAGAAAGCTCTTAAGTACTTAAGAAAACAAGACAATAAGTTTTTTCCAGTGTTACCTGTAACATGTGATATTTTTTGCTGATAGTGATATAGGGTTATGATATAGGTATAGGTTGTCTATTAGTGATCAAAATAATTGTAATGTCCATTAGTTATTTAAGGCGCCCAGCGCAGATGTAAAATGGGCCGTTTCTACTTCCGATTTTTTTTTAGATTTACATGCACTATTTACACGAGATGTTTTACACGAGCAACAAATACGAACAACTGTCTATATACGCTTGCTATATAAGATCTTATTGCTTTATCGTGTTACTCTTTTATAAAAATTTTTTTATGATTTCTTTATTGCACAAGCCACTCTATGTGATCACTTTTTGTGCAATTATTATAAACTGATTCATATTTGAGTGTAAGATTTTATTTCCATGATTAATTTTTTAATTTTCCACATATTAATTGCGATTCTTGTGCACATATTGCTTTTTTATTGGACAAAACACAAAAGTAGAGAAATTGGAAGTACTTATTTGGTCCTAAAATATTTAGTTTTTTTACACTCGAAATTTCAATACTCGAATAATCGATTTACATTTCTATTTGTTTTTTTAGCCCCATATTTTATGTATTATGCAATAGCTGCAATGATATATAATTACGACAACTTTATATATAAAAGAATAACCCCTTAGTCCATTATTAGTGATAAAACCAATTGTGATGTTAGATGATGTAAGACTAATGAAAAAATAATATTTTTGTTTTAAAATAAACATTGATTTTATCTAATTATATATATATTAAATTTTTTATTATTTCCTGCAATATTTGTCTGACTTAATAAAAATCGATTTGATGTCGATTAGACGTCGATTACGTCAACAGGTAATCGACATGAGAGACAAAAAGAGATCGATGTCGATGTCAATTTCGATCTCATTTCGAACCCACATATTGATATCGATTCGACGTCGGAACGACTTTTCGTGTCTCACTGGGCATAAATGCTTTTCTAATTTACCAGTAGATCCTAGAACTTTATTGCGTACACCAAAATACACTGAAATCAAAACTATTTTACCTGGATTGTATTCTCATTTTGGAGTTTGTGTTGCATTAGAAAAATATTTTAGAAAATATAATTATAGGTTTGATAATATAAATACTATAAATTTAGGAATTAATATTGATGGATTACCTTTATCAAAATCTTCAACATCATCATTATGGCCAATCTTAGGATGTGTTTTGCCATATAAAGAAATTTTTATAATTGGGGCATATTATGGACCTAAGAAACCAACAAATTGCAATGAGTTTTTGCAAGATTTTGTTGAAGAAATGATAGAGTTAGCAAACAATGGAATATTTTTGTGTGAAAAATTTTATAATATTCAAATTAAACAAATTTTATGCGATGCGCCTGCAAAAGCCTTCATACTAAATATAAAAGGTCACAGCGGTTATTTTAGTTGCACAAAATGCGTAATTGAAGGTGAATATAGAAACAGACGTATTTGTTTTGTAGATATTTATGCTGCAAAGAGAACAAATAATGATTTCTTAAATGAAACAGATGACAATTTTCATTTAGGTTGTACCAATTTAAAACAAATACCGCAATTACATTTTATAGAAAATATTCCTCTTGATTATATGCATTTACTTTGCCTTGGAGTTATGAGAAAATGTTTATATATGTGGACAACAGGGGACTTAAAAGTTCGTCTACAATCTCATAAATGTCAAATATTATCAAGCAATTTAGAAAATATTAAACATAACATACCAGTTGAATTTTGCAGAAAACCGAGATCTTTGGATTATTTAAAACAATGGAAAGCAACTGAATATAGGCAATTTTTGTTATACACGGGTCCTGTTGTTCTTCGAGGAATACTTTCAAATGATTTATATTATCATTTTCTAACACTTACTGTAGCAATTAGAATTTTATGCTGTAAAAATGTATGTAACGATTATTTGAATTACGCTGAAGAATTATTAATTCATTATGTTAACACTTTTAAAATTTTGTATGGAAAATACAATATGTCTCATAATGTTCATGGTCTGATTCATTTATGCGACGATGTTCGCATACATGGCACTTTAGATTTATTTAGTGCTTTCAAATATGAAAATTTTTTACAAGAAGTAAAAAAAATAATTCGCAAAGCTGATAAACCACTACAGCAATTACACAGAAGATATATGGAGAAAAATGATGCTATATGTAATACAGATTTGACATATGAAGAAAATTCCAAGATACAATTACTCAATGAACATTATGATGGTCCACTTATTCAGGACTGCACAAATCCTCAGTATAAAAGTATTAATATGGCACAATATATCATAAAAGTGAATGATAACGCTAATAATTGTTGTTTTATGAAAGACGAAAGTATCATAAAAATTGAAAATATTGCATATTGTAATAGAAGAAAATACTTAGTTGCTATTGGCAAAAAGTTTATGATTAAAAAAGACTTATTCCATGTCCCATGCTTGTCATCATTATTTGACATTTATTTAGTTAGTAATGTGTCTGAATTATGTACATGGCCCATATCAGATATCAGCAAGAAAATGTTAATAATGCCATACGCAAATAATACATTTGTTATTATTCCGTTATTACATATTGAATAATTAATAATTTATATGAAATGCTATAAATTTCATTATGTTTAGATTCTTAAAATAAAATATATAAGCAATATGAATAAATATTATATCATCGAATTTGAAGATGGTCTTCAAATTGTACCAAATAATTGGTTTACTTCCGAAGAAAAATCTGCAGCATATTGGCCAAATTTAACAAATCAAAAAGAATATGATAAAGCAGTCGAAAAAATGAAAATTTTTAATAATAACAATTCAACGATAATATTTGTTAAAAGAATATTTGGAAGCACAGGTAAGTTACATTTTTGTTGCTAAAATTTTTATTTGCAGTTTTAAGAGAATAATATTTTTAAAACATTATCGTTTTCAGATAGTTTCATGAAAGCAAAAAATAAATTGAAATTAGCCGAAAAATTATCAGATTTGAATTCGGATGAAGACACAGAAGTTGAAAAAAAGAGAAGAAGACAGTATGCAGCCAAAGTTGTTTCTTCAAGTAGTGAAGAAGAAGAAATCAATCACCCTATTAAAAAAAAGAAAATAGATAGTTATCCAAAAATATCACAAATTTCGAAGAATTCTACATTACGCCATGTGCTAGAAGATAAAGAGAACTATTTATTAAAAGAAAATGAAACGCAACACATACATTCTCCACAAAATTATATTTCTTCAAATATTAATCTTGTAAAAGGTAAATATATTTTTGTATATATATTTTTATATATGTATTTTGTATATACTTTGTATATATATTTTTGTTATTAATTTAAAAAGAAATTTTTTAATTTTAATATATTTTTTAAAAAATATTTTACTAAAATATTTTAAAATAGAATAAATTCTAATTCTAATTATTGTTTTATAAAAAACGATATTAAAAAATTAAATGTCTATATAGTTATTAATATTCTTTGTTTCTATAAATAAATAAATATTGTAGCATTACTTATTGAACTACAATTACAGATTCACAAGATATTCAATTCCGCAATAAAAATATTTCTTATGTTGAACCTGGTACTTCTGATATGCAAGATAACACTTTTCATTCAAAAGGTACATAAATATGCTGCTACCTTTACATTTTAAAGTAATCTATATTTTTATTATATATATATATATATATATATATATATATATAATAAAAAGATTCTTTTGTACTGATATTAATATATTGATTAATACTGATATTATATACATATATAAATCGCTTTTTAGCAAATGTTATTTATTTGAATATATCATTTTTTTAGGATTTAATGAATTTAAACATCAAGTATATAGAAACTTTCTTGTGCTTAAGCAAAAATTAGATTTTATTTTACAAAACCAATTAGATTTTCATCAACAATGGCAAAATAACAATACAACACATATTTCTATTGAAGACAATGATATAAATGTTATGTCCCAATTTCCAATAGAAACTGATGACACTTTAAATCAATTAGAAGAGGCTCTCATCGATAATAATTATCGTAATAAATTGGTAAGATAAATATAAATATTAATATATTATAAATATTGAATAACTTTATACAGTTTGAATGATAAGTAATATACACATATATTTTTTCATTTTTTGATGTTTTTATCTATTATGAGAAAATAAAACATTTTTATTACAATTTTTAAAATTTAACGTTATTAAATTTAATTAATTAAAATTTTTTTATATCTGTTATATTAATATATAATACATAATTTTTCTATTATTGAGAATAATTATTATTTTTGTTTATTAACATAAGAGAGTTTAAGAGAATGTTACTACATAATCAAATTTTTGTATGTTTTCTTTTTTATTTCATTCATATTAATTTATATGTAATACTTTGTATTCTTTTAAGATAACAAGTGATGCAATTTTTTAATTTTAAAGTATATAAGATAAATTTTTATTAATTATTATGATCATATTATTTTTATAATTGAGAAAAATTATTTTTATTTAGTATGTTTGAGAAATAAAATATATCTAATAAAAAATTATGAAATAGTTTAATTATTTTATAATTTGAAATGAATTGTTTATTACACACACACACACACACACACACACGCACACGCACACGCACACGCACACGCACACACACACACACACACACACACACACACATATATATATATATATATGTTACATTTTTAATATTTCTTTCTTAAAATAATGTAATCAAATGTTAAATAGATAACTTTCACTTTTAAAAACTTAGCTAATAATTTCTTTTTTCATATAGAATAATTTATATGAAATATTATCTATATTTAAAATATCTCAAAAGAAATGTTTTTAAAAAAATGTTTCAGATAATAAAAATAGTTCAGTTTTAAAGAAGCAATAAAACAGTATTAATTTTAGATAGCGCTATCAAGTATATATAAATTTTATTTTAAAAAATTGTAATGACTATTTTGGGGATGCTATTTAAGACTTGTTTTATTATTTTTTTCAAATTGAACTATTTTTGCCTGAAATATTTTTTTAAAAAAAGTATTTCTTTCGAGATATTTTAAATAGACATTTTAAAATAGATTTGTATATTTAATGATTTCCTCTGGATCAGTTTAGGACAACAAAAAAGACATTTTGAACCTCCAGTGGATATTGTTAGGATCTAATTTTGTGTAGGTCATGGTCCTAGGGATATTCATTTTTGGATCTCCTAAGGATAACGTGAAAGCGGACATTCAGATATCCTCAGTATATCCTAAGTCTACCCTACGGTTTTACACAGATCCTTCGGATAATTAAAAGTTTTTGAAGTATATCCAGTGGTCGTACTTAGGATTAACTTTTGCTATGTGGGTTGCTATTTGAACTGGAAGCTTGTGGCTCCTTACATGATTTTTGTAAGAATGTTACGGTTCTAAAATAAATTATAGAACGTTACTGCAATATAATTTTCAGTTGAATTATCGTTAAATATATTGCTTCTTTTGTAAACAGAAATATACATACCATTTCTAAAGAGATTTCGATCTTTGTCCATTACTATTTCTTCACAGTTTGCAAAGCAGCTATGTGTAATTTTTCCATCTTCATCGCTCCAAACAAGCCAGTTACAATATCCACATTTGAATTTCTGCAATTAATAAAATAATAATTGTAACAAATACATGTAGAATGAGCATTTTAGCATATATATTTTATGTTCCATATATATAATAACGTACCAATGACGACATTGCTCTTTTGAGAAATGAAAAAACAAGCCTAAAAATATTAAAATTATAAAATTATAAAAATTTAATTACACAAAATATATTAAGCGTACGATCTACTTATGTTTCTATCAACGTCGCTTAACTTTAATCTTAACTTAAGAGTCCTTTAGAAAAAGACAAAGAATGAGTTAAGATTAAAGTTAACTGACATTGATAGAAACGGTCACTAGTCAAACTTTACAAACTTTCAATATCAAGGTTAGAAATTTTTCCGTTTCTTTTCCGTTCCGTAATAGTTCCGTGCCATGGGGAATCGGGCCGCGAAAAAACGGAACGGAATCATTCTGATTGGTCTAGTCACCTTTCCGTTACTATTCCGTTCCGCTATTTCTTTCTCCATTGGGACGAGCCCTTATGTTTATGATTATGGCATGGACGTAAGAAATACAGGACAGAACATAAAGACCGGTATTCATAATCCAGTCTTATATTTAAGATCATCTTAAGAACTCATTCAACCAATCAAATAGCTACAATGCAGCCATTGATTGGTGGAATGAGTTCTTAAGATGATCTTAAATGTAAGACCGGACTATGAATACCGGCCAAAGTACTCTTTTAGGTCGGTATTCATAGTCCGGTCTTACATTTAAGATCATCTTAAGAACTCATTCCACCAATCAATGGCTGCACTGTAGCTATTTGATTGGTTGAATGAGTTCTTAAGATGATCTTAAATATAAGACTGGATTATGAATACCGGCCTTAGACAAGGGGTGTGAGGCCTGAGGGATAAGAGATTTATTGTCGCGGCCATTTTAGATGCCTCAGATTTAGCGTCTATTTTCACATCGCACGGACGTAAATCGAATAAAATATGAGAGATTCCGTGAAATCATCTATCATCTGAAATCGCTGTGTTATTCCAAATCATTTCTGAATATTAAGAAATTCAAAAATATCACACTCCGTGAAATTAATATCCGTCGCCATCTTATATGCCTTATATTCCGTTGCAGTAGACATTTCTTTCCCCTCACCCTTTGAGCTTCACCCCCGCAGCAATACACTCTGTCCAGTATTTCTTACGTCCATGGATTATGGCAATTCATGTGCGAAAGCCTTTAAGCTAACTGGCCACTGTTGAGCTTTGGAACGGGCTTTAATAAAGAAGTTTAAATTCGATACTTTTGTTGCCATTAATAAGCATAACGTAAAAATCGCAATGACAATTGAAACAATTGCATAAATCTTCGATTGACTGCCTACAGATTTTGTTCTCTAAGGTAAATTAAAAAATAGAATAAAATTAAATAAATATAGAAATTGAAGAAAAATACAAGAAAAACGAAAATATGTAAAGTTGAGCTAAATAAACAATTATTCATTTCAAAATTGTGCACTTACATTCCGAGAATCGAACAGATATCGATAGCAAGTACATGTGACAGTTCTCGCAATATATCTTTGGCTGTGTTCCAAAATTCATTGCCAGTACTGAAAATCTATAGTGTACATCACGTAAACTATAGATTTTCAGCTCTGGCAATGAATTTTGGAACGCAGTCCGTATTGGTCATATGATTTTCACGAAGGAAAGGGCGAGTCGTGTGAGATCCAGTTTCGAACTTGGCATATATTTTACGACTTTTCCTCATCAACGTAATTCAAAAAAAATTTCGTCGCAGAATGAAGGGATGCATATTCAACATTGACGGCGGCTACTTAGAAGGTCTGTGCCGTGGTTTCAAGTGTGGCATACTTCAACAGAGCGATTATCTGAATTTGGTTCAGTGCGAGACGCTCGAAGGTATTTATTTGATTTATTTAATCCGAATCGTCTTAAATTCACATTTAACAAAAAATTTTTCATATCTTTGTAACATGTAATTTATATAGATATATATTTATTTCTTGCTTTAAACCTTTAAAGGTAATTTTACAAAAATTGTATAGTGTATAATATCGTATATAAAAATATAAATTTTATAATAAGTATATAAAATATCATATAAATAAGTTTTACATAACAATGACTTTTAGGCTAACTAATCTTTATCTAATAACTTGATAATCGCTAAATTTTTGTAATAATTGCACAAGATAAATTATTTCTAGATTATCTTTGAACTTATTTTATTTCTTTCTAAGTCTATTTTCTAGATTTTCTTATTCTCTTTCCTTATCCGTACAATTTTCTTCATTCAACTAATTCTTCTTTCTCCCTTCTTTTCCAAAACTGATTCATTCTTGTATCATTTCTCTACAATTTGTTGCTAAATGCTTTAATGTTAACATCATTTTAACAAATCCTAAATTTTTTTTATTCATGCCAAAATTTTTCATGAAATTTGTTGTTTCCTTATCTAAATTCCACAATTTTTTGAAAATGTTAGTTTTTTCAAGTATTCTAGAATTTTTCTTATATAAAACTCTTAAAAAAAAAATATATATATATATATATATATATATATATCTTTTTATTAAAACATTAAGGTGATAGACATAGGAAAATATTTGTTCATTGTATTTTATCTTATTTACTATTAATAAACTATTAATAAACTTATGCTTTTCTTTTTGCTCAAATTAATTTTCTTTATCTAGATCTGAAACTACATTTGGCTGGTACAGACTACGGCAGCTTTTTGGCAAATGAACCATCTCCACTTTCTGTTAGTGTGATTGATGACAAATTGAGAGAGAAATTGGTTGTAGAATTTCAACATATGCGCAATCATTCCGTTGAGCCCCTGTCTCAATTTCTAGATTTTATCACTTACAGTTATATGATTGACAACATTATTCTGTTAATCACTGGTACTTTGCATCAAAGACCTATTTCAGAATTAATTCCAAAATGCCATCCACTTGGTAGTTTTGAGCAAATGGAAGCAATCCATGTTGCTGCCACACCTGCTGAGTTGTACAATGCTGTATTGGTAGATACACCCTTGGGTATGAGATTTTGATTTATATTGATTATTTATTTTTCTTTATTCTTACATTCCACATTATATACGAATATCATGAAACATGCTTATTTTACTCAGAGTTGGGTAATAACTAGTTGATTAGTTAAAAGTTAAAAAGTTAAAAAAAAAATTAAAAAGTTAATAATTTTTAACTCAACTTAGTTATTTTAAAAAGAGTTAATTTTTAACTTTAACTAGTTATTTTTAAAACACATAAACTTAAACTTATTAACTTTCCCTCCAAATTTATTTGATGATTCATATTATTATTATTTAGAGTAATCTAATTTTAAAATTACAATCTAATTTAATAAAGTGAAATAATGCTTTATAAAATTTTAACTTTTATCTTAACTAACGTTAATTTAATCTTAATGTAACTTTTATTGAGTTAATTTTTTATTTGTATAACTTTTAACATAACTAAATTAATTTTTTAACCCATTAATTTTAACTTAATTTAGTTTAAAAAAATATAAAGTTACCCAACCCTGATTTTACTATAGCACCTTTCTTTGTGGATTGCATATCTGAGCAAGATTTGGATGAGATGAATATTGAAATAATAAGGAATACACTTTATAAAGCTTATTTGGAAGCATTTTATAAATTTTGTAAAGAACTTGGGGGTACAACTGCAGACACTATGTGCGAAATACTTGCTGTAAGATATTCTATTTTATTAAAATAATAACATTGTATATGCATAAAATAGATATTTGATATATGATATTTTTATTATTTCTTTAGTTTGAAGCAGATAGAAGAGCAATTATTATAACCATTAATTCGTTTGGAACTGAATTGGGTAAAGATGATCGTGCAAAATTATATCCACGCTGTGGACGTTTGAATCCAGATGGATTAGCAGCTTTAGCAAGAGCTGACGATTATGAACAAGTGAAGGCTGTAGCAGAATATTATGCTGTGAGTAAAACTTTAAATATGCAGTTTGATTAATGCTTTTTAAATAAAAATATATAATTCTTTAATTTTGTAATTGCAATTATAATATAATAATTCTCTTTTAAATTAATGTTTGTTTTTCATTGCTCCATATTTAAACAGGAATATAGCGCTTTATTTGAAGGCGCAGGTAACAATCCTGGTGATAAAACTTTGGAAGACAAGTTCTTTGAGCATGAAGCAAGTATATTTATTATTTTATATAAAAATACATACAAATATTTCACACATACACACACACACATATATAAAACGTATCTTGTAATACAATTATAATTTTATATTAACTTTGAAATATTTTAACTTTTTGATATACACAGGTTCGTTTGAATGTTCATGCATTTCTTCAACAATTTCACTTTGGAGTATTCTATAGCTATTTGAAATTGAAGGAACAAGAGTGTCGCAATATTGTGTGGATTGCGGAATGCGTTGCTCAAAAGCATCGTGCTAAAATAGATAATTATATTCCTATATTTTAAATGCTACAATAACGTTAATTATGTTCATTTCTGCAACAATAATGAATTTATTAATATATGTTAAGATATTTTCTAATATTGTGAACTATATGATAATGTTATAATTATCAGAGGAAGAAAATCTTCTGAAATTGTTTGAAAAATATCCAGAATACTTATTATAGAAAGTAAAAAAAAAGTAAAAAAATATATGTATTTATTAAATATTGTACATGCTAACTATAACATAGAACGTGTATGTTAAGAAAGAGAATTAATATTTAGAATTATTCGTACTTGCTTTAGAATTTAAATGATTTAGCAAAATTTATGTGCATAGTATATATTTTATTAATATAAGTTATTTCCGCATATTTTATTCTATACAGCAAATATTCAATTTAAAGTAAATATAAAGTAAAAAAATATATTCCATATAATTAATAATGTATAATTTTTTAATTCTAAACACATACATATATCATAATCCTTCATTTTTTGACATTAAGCTAAAAAAGATTGAGAAAAATTTATTACCAATAATTTTACTTTTTTATTAGTTGTTTTGTATAATTGTAGCATAATAAAACTTATTTTACATATTTTTGAAAATACATATATTATTGTATATATGAAATAATTTATCATTATTTAAATTCACTACTGAATTCATATATCAATGAATTTGACAAATTTTATTTATACACATATTTACACATTTATCTGTCAAATTGTTTTCAAATTCTTTAAATTATTTTTTTAAAGAAATTCATTCTTTTGCTACATTTTTTCCTTCATTAATAATATTCTCTTCTAAAGTTTTAATAGTATTCTGTAGTAAAGTTTTAATCTCTAGAAGTAGAAATACTAAAAAGTAGAAATACAATTCTGATTTGTTCTATTTTATTGTATGAAGAAAAAAGAAAATATATAAATTTATCTTCTACAAATATGTTCACTTTCACACTGCATTCGATCTCCATCAGTCTCTCTATTTCTGTTAGGATCTACTTCTTCTTTCATGGAATTCATGTTAATTACTTGTGATGAAATGTTATTTCCATGTTTCATTGTGGTGGGTGAGGAAGGTGTTGACACAGATTTTGTGTTTTTGATGCTATTTACTAAGTTCGGCGGTTGATAAGTTGTTAAACTCTTCAAACCAATTACTTCGGGATTTTCTTTCCAAAAACGATCACCGATAATATCATCTACCAAGGGCACTACAGCAGGTTTCAACCTTCCTGATCCATCGGGCACCAATTTCCGAATGAGTGTTGTACCTTTCCGAAACAATTGTGGTTCATTATTATAATTTATTCCAAACTCTTGGAAAAGCAACTCATTCTTATGTGATGCTAGAGTGCCTCTAAGCTTTTCTTCTGCCTGTAACATAGTGTATATATATATATATATATATATATATATATATATATATATATGTATATATGTATATAAGTGTGTTATACACATATAATACACTTATTGTTATGTATGATTTAAAAAAAGACTTTGATATTATGTATATATGTATGTATGTATGTATGTATATATATATATATATATATATATATATATATATATACACATACATATACATACAAACATACATATCAAAATCTTTTTTTAAATCATACATAACAATAAGTGTATTATATGTGTATATATATAAAGACTATATCATGAATTGTTGTGAAACATATAAACATTTTAATTAATTTAAAATATAAATACACACACACACAAAGATAAATAAAAAATTATCCATCTATTTTTTCAATTTATTACAACAGAGAACTTATAGATTATTTTTCCACATAATCTCCTTGTCTTTCAATACACTTGGTCCAATGTTCCAAGTTTGTTTATGTTTTCAGAAAAAGTACTAGTTTTAATAAAGTTTTAATAAGTTTTTCATTGTACTATTAATCATATATACACCATATCTTTCACAAGGTCTGTAGGAAATGCAGTTAAAACACTTCAAAACTTAGGATTTTAGATCTTGAGCTATTCACTAGCCCTGACTTTGCTCTTTCAAATTAGCCCTTCAAATTTCTCCCTTCAAACAAACCCTTTAAATTTTCAACCAACATAAAAATATGCATGTGTTGCTGATGACAACCATTACAAACAAATTTTCTTTGAGTGAACGAACTTATAAAATATTAGATCAAATGCATTGAAAAACAAAGAATTACATGGAGAAACGATGTATTTCTAAATTCTATGTGTAATAAATTGCAGAAATAGATTGCAGATAATTGTTGACTCAATCTCATATGTATATTTCATTATTTCTTAAATTTTATTTAAACTGCATATTTGTATTTTATTTAAACTGCATATTTGTATTTTAATATTATATTTGGATTCTTTATTAAAATTTATAAACACATTCTAAGCTTTATGAAATTTTATGGAGAAAAAACAATGTTAATTTGATCAATTACAATCATAATAATTGGATTAAAAAGAAATTTGTTTAAATTTTAAATAAAATTTTATATTTTTTCTACTTCTTTTTTTTTAACGACTTTTCAATATTGTTTGCAAAAGTGTTAAAATATATATAACAATACACAAATATACACGAGAAAAATATTTTCATTTATCTCTATTTTGTGAAAGAAATGTACACATGTATTATTACTACATATGTGTTATATAGCCAGTACTATATATAACTAAATGGATTTCTTGTGTTATAAATATTATATTTTAAAGACAAATCTTTTTTTAATAAATTTTTAATGAGTTGTTAATAAATAAATATTTAATAAAAAACTATTATTTATTTCAATAACTAAATTTTTAAATTTAGCAATATATCTAAAAAATAATTTCCAAATAAATTTTTTATTACAAATGATGAATTTTTATTACTTTTGTTAAGAATGTACTATTTATTTTATTTAAAAAATTAATAAACATATATATTGTCACTGAAAAATTATAATCATACTTGTTTGTGTGTACAAAGATATAATAAACATATATGTGAATATATAACAATTATTAAGCTATATAATATTGTGTACAAGTTTTGCATATTTTTTGCCTTTTGAAATATAATACCTGACTCGGAGTTAATTTTCCTTTCAAAACCAGATTCCAAAAGCATGTGTTGTATAAATTATTGACATGTACATCAGCTTGTCGCCAAGCCAAATAGTCTCTTAAATTCTTATCTGTTGGATATAATATAATACGAGCGTCAAACGAAGGCGGATAGTATAATTCTTTTCCTCTAAATATACGTGGCCAATAATAAACATATGCCGAAGCAAATAATGAATTTACATTAGACAATAGTTTTGATGCTGAAACACACATAAATACACATAAATTTAAAAAATATATGTAGATGTAGTGTATTTGTAGATGTATAGTCAATCAACATAATGATGAAAATTTAACATATCAACTGTATTGTTTATACAGAATAAGAACATTATAAATTAAATTAATTTTAAATAAAATTATAAAGTTTAATTGGATTTATAAAATATATAACATAAATATAAAATGTATACAATAATCGGTGAATAAAATTAGATTTTATGATTTAAAATATACTGGAAATTTCATTAAAATAAAACGTAATCAATGATTTAAATTTTTAAAATTTATTTAAATAAATTATATAGCACATGAAAATTATATCTGAAGAAAAATATACGTATTTCCATATAGAAAATTTTAACAATAAAGATAAAAAAATTAATTATATTTTCTATAATATGAAAATAATATAATCTGATATTTTAATACAATTTGATATCTAAACAATTTAATATATGTCAATTATTACTATAAAAGTGTGTGTATATTTTTTATTCATAATACATTAAGAGCTAATGCACAAATTCATATAGCTGTATATGTATAGTATAAGATTATCTGGACAAATAGCATTAAATCACCTAGATACTCATTAGTCCAGATAATCTTATGCTATGCACATGCAGCAATGTCAATTTGTGTGCGATAGGACTAAGAAAAAGAAAAAATCTGTGACAATATTAAGGAATATTATCTTGAACATTTGTTAGGATAATTAAATAAATTCAATATATTAATAATGTTAAAATCAACATATTTGATTTAAATCTTGAAATTTGTAATTATATTAAAATCAATTATGTGGTCTAAATATATATTAACTATAATAGACAAGAAAAAAATATATATTTAAAACTTCATTTAAAGGAATAATTATGATTTCAGAAATTCTATGCAAAAGAAATATTAAAAATATTTTTTGTGTCATATGTTTTACAAAATTATTCAAATTATTTAAAGTATATTTATTTATTTGCATCTTGAAAGCAAATAATTAGTTATCCTGTAGAAGTGATATCCTATATAAGATTTGCTAGTGAATTTCCTCATTTTTAAAAATTATTCTTTAACCAAAGTTAATTTTTAACAGAAATGTTAAACAAAATTTATTAATTTTTAATTTTTGGTATTAAATCTCTTTAAATTTTGGTATTAAATCTTTTTAGATAATTTTGAAATTAATTTGTTAAAGACCAACCAAAAATTAAAATAGTTTTATTATTTGAAAAAATTATTTTTATATTTTTGAAAAACTCTGTGAAAAATTCTTTACATTTTAAATTACTTAATATATCTTAATAGTTATTAATCTCTTAACATACATATACGTTTGTTAAAAAGAAAGTGTAAAATCTATAAATAAAATATAATTTGATATATGAGACATCTATTATTTTACATCCTTTTAATCTTTTGACAAAATATAAATCAATTATTGCAGAAAATTTAATCAAAATATCTAATTGTCTAAATAGAGAAAGAGAAGAAGAGAAAGAAAAAGTTTGAAAATTTATTATAATTAATATGAAGCTATTTTTATTAGTATTATTTTATGAAATAATATTAATAAAAACTGTAGTAAAGATATGTTAATTTTCACTTTCTGATAATAGTGAACAATTATGCTTAAAATATTTCAAAATTGACACTATGAAAAATTAAAGAAAAATTGTCACAAATTATTTTCTCTTTTTCTTATTGTATTATGAACATATATGTAAGAATAATTGAAATATCATTACTATTAAATTGTATTAAAATATCAATCATAGGTAAAGTAATTTAATTCTTTTGGATAGGCAAACTCCGTACTTTGTTGAGCATATGTGTACCTCTGCGCTTATAGAGCTGTGTGTCCTTCCGAAAAACGAATGAGTATTCATCACTCTGTCCAAAACCTAGTATAATTTCTTTGAAATCTTCCATAACAGTGATCGCAGAGCGATTCATCAGTTCAAGAGCAGCCACATCATTTGGCTTGACGAATTGATGTGTCTCGCAGAATCTGGAAAAATTTCTGCCATCTATCCTAATTACAATCCAACAGTTTGGCAAGCAATTATCGTCCTGCTCGAACTCCTTCACGTATTCGAATTTACTCTTTGCCATCGTCGTCAGACTTAAATATCGACACGGGGCAACTTGTTTGTCCCGATTGACGAGCCTTCGAATCAAGATGCTACCCTTCATTCAGGTAAGCTTTGTTGTCAGAGACACACATTGCCGCCGGAACATGCAGTTCAGTGTTGGGCTTTGGGCTTCGTTCGGAAACACCACTTGTGTGCACACGAAGTTGCACTATCCGTTCGGAAACTGTGTGCTCGGTGTGCCTTCTGGTGTTTTCGGATTCGACCCGAGATAGTTTACTAGACTCATTGACCAATGGCCGCATTCAGCACTCAACCGCTAAGTAGCAATCGAACAAAGATTGGTTTCTACTTTCAGTTCCGGCCAATCAGCGTCAAATTACATCAGTAAATCTAGTAATGTTACCCAACTGTTGAGCCCGTTGAATGTGATCAATCTCTCAGTGACTTACTTTTCTCCTAAGGTTTGTTCGCGTCGCATGCTCCAATGTACGCCAGAGAGCACTTAGATCACAGGTAAGATGGTGGTTAAAGCAGTTGAGTTCATGTGCACCAACGTTTGGTGACACGAACGGACTTGAAGCACTTCCCCTTCTTTTTTTGCTTTCAATCAATCGCACATTACAGTATTATAACAACATGGATCTTGATGCTTTTACTAATTTCAATATTATAATTAATAATATTATAATTGATAATATTAATAATAAATTTGTAGAACAAAATCTATTATCCTTTGCTATTAATAATTTTGAAAATGAAAATGATGACAAAATAGAAAGTGAGTATTAAGAAGATATAGCGTTCTAACCTTGTGTTAATATAATTTCTAAAGATTGGTTTTATTTTAAATTCACCTTTTTTTTAGTTTGTGCACTTTTACCCTAACAGCACATGATATCATTCGAATATATTCTATACTCATACTGTAAATCACAGACATCTATACTATATACTAGACCGCTAACTTGCGTCAAATACATGTCCACGAAATTTATGTACTAAATTCTCACGCATGCGTAACATTGGTGGACAACAGTCACATTTGTGATTGGTTGATGTTATGTAAAATGTATATAAGTACGTAATCTGTATATACACTTACAGTTGAATAAAAATTATCTTTGAATAATATATAATCTTCGTTTTTATTTTTAAAAAATTGTTATAGCCTTTAAAATATATTAAAATATATTTGAAAGATATGTATATAATAAGAATCAAGATCAAATATTATACAACATTTATATATATTTATATATATATATATATATTATATATATATATATATTTATATATATATTTATATTTATATTTATATTTATTTATTTATATTTATTTTATAATAAAATGAAAAGTTTAAAATGTGAAAAAATATAATTATATAAAAAGATATAATCATATAAAAATAAAAAATACAATTGTTCAGATAAACACTTAAATACATTTAAAATTATTCAACTTACATTAACAACTATACATTATATATACGCAAATATAAAGTAGTAATTTAGTTTTAAAGACAATTGAGAGAAAATTTAATATCTTTACATATTTTTTAATCTTGTATATGTATTACAAGATTAAAAAGAAATTAAGTTTTCCCCAATTGTCTTTAAAACTAAATTATTTTATATTTGCATATACAATATGTAATTGTCAATAAGTTGAATAATTTTAAATATTTAAATTTTCATCTTAAAAATTGTATTTTATTGTATTTTTTATTTTTATACAATTATATCTTTTTCTATAATTATATTTTTTCACATTATAAATTTTTAATTTTGTTATAAAATAAATATATATATATATATATATATATATATATATATATATATATACAGGGTGTAAAAAAATTAGACCGACAAACTTTGAGGGGAAATAGAGGACATAAAAACAAACATATTTTGTTAATAATGTTTTTCTCTACGACGCTTCGTTTTAATATTATAGGGTACAAAATAGGAATTTTATGATTTTAACAAAAATGTTTATGTTGAAGTCCTCTCCCGATAAAAACAGTACGTGGAATTCACGTCATAACGTGGATTGCACGTACTGTTTTTGTCGGGCTGTTTGCCCTCAATACTGTTTATTAATGAAGCGTGCTTCACAAGGGTATTTTGTATTTACTTTTACTTTATTTTTATATCTTTAATTTTTACAACTCTTATCGATGAAGCATTGAAACAGAAACAGAATCGTTAATCCGAATTTCGACGTTGTCATTTTTGTGTTGAAACAAATGGAGGAATTTTTGAACATTTATTATAAATTGAGCTAATTATTTGCGCATTTTTGTTCCGTTCTTTTGTTAATTGTTTTTTGAAGATTAAAATATATATGTGTAATTGAAATAAATTTAATTTTTTCACTTATGTTTGTTTTTTGTTAAAATCATAAAATTCCTATTTTGTACCCTGTAATATTAAAACGGAGCGTCGTAGAGAAAAACATTATTAACAAAATATGTTTGTTTTTATGTCCTCTATTTCCCCTCAAAGTTTGTCGGTCTAATTTTTTTACACTCTGTATATATATATATATATATATATATATATATATATATACCGGGTGTTTCAGACCACCCGTCCCACCCTTTTAAAACGTAGGGATGTGCTTGTACAAAAAAATGGCTCAGACGAAATTTGCATGATTTCGAGGGATCTATCTGATGGTGACCTTGAATTCGACCTTGAGATCGACCTTCAAGGTTATTTGAAGGTCAAAGTGTTTTTTTTTAATGGGAACCCCTATTTTTGATTGTATATTCTTATAGCTGACCTCGAGAGCTTTCCAAAACACTATAATAAAATATTTTTTCCTCAAGCATTTATCGAGTTATGAGGCTTCAAATCATTTCTTAATTTTACATAAACCGTAAAATATCTTGTAAAATATTCACTTTTCGATTATTTTACTTTAATACTTTTATGTACAAAATAATGAGAGGAATCAATTGATGTAAAGAAAACACATAATTGTTTCGAAGAAAAAATATGCAATTTGCAATTAACAATTACATATTGTTTCTTAAAAATAACTAAAATATATTTGTAGATTGGAAAATGTACGTACTAAAAAAGAAACTAAACGAAAAGCTCATCACTAAGGAACAGGTGGAGGATCTCCCATAAAAATATCTTTTTTAACATTAGAAGAATTATTTAAATTTTCAACCCCGAAAGCAGCAGGATTATTCCGCAAGGAGGAATAAATTTAGATAAAGAAAATTCTCAAGAAATATATTGTGATAATAATTCAGAACAAGTACAAAATTTAGAAACTCTGAAAATGTACCATTACATAAAAAATTATGTACAAGCAGTATGCCTTTAAATAATATGAATGATATGCGATATTTGTGACATTATAATAATATGATTAAATTGATTTAATTTTTAACATACTTTTAAGATTATTTGACATTTAATATTTTTCAGATTCAAATACGAATTCAAAATCGATGTCTGTTAAAATGATAAATATTCAAGAAGAAAAACTATCGTTAAAAAGAAAAGAATTAGATGTTCAACGACAACTTTTGGAGGTACAACGATCTACATTGATTGAAATACAAAAAATAAGAACTGTCATGGATACGTTTGGATCATTGCAGTAAGATTTTTCATAAAAGGAGGTAAATATTTGATTAAAAATTTTTAATGTTTTTATTTATATAGCAGAATATCTAATCAAATAATTTTTCAAAAAATTTATTTGATTACAGCACATGTAAGGTTGCAAAGTTGTGCACACTAGTTGTGCACTTCGTGTTGTGCATATACTTTATTTGTTTGTTTTTTGATTGTCAAGACTTTGTTAATTTATTTTGTGTTTCATGTTATTTAGATATAAGATTTTTTTACATAACTAGATGTAATAAAAGTATTTTGTTTCTTTAAAATAGATTATAAGTGACACTTGTGATACATAACTAGATGTAATAAAAGTATTTTGTTTCTTTAAAATAGATTATATAAGTGACACTTATGATACATAACTAAATGTAATAAAGTATTTTGTTTCTTTAAAATAGATAAGTGACACTTGTAATATATAACTAGATGTAATAAAACTATTTTGTTTCTTTAAAATAGATAAGTATTGTGATACATATAAATGATGTCTTATTTAATTAAATAAAAAAGAAAATGAAAAATATTATTTTATTATTATATTCTTTAACGATAATTATAATCTTTAACGATATTTTCAATTAAAATATTGTTGTATAATTCGTTCTCGAATTTCATTGTCATTTAAATTTTCTTCTACGTTGTATATTTCAAGATTTCTTTCCCTTTCATCTAATTCATCAAAATATATTTCCGGTTACGGGACATTGTAATGTTTTGCAATATTTTGAACTACGCAACATACATTTACAATAAGAGCTAAAATAAATTCTATAAATTAATATTCTCAAATATTTTAAAAACATGTAGTTGCTATATATGTAAATTACAAATTACACTACCAGAGAATTCTGGCGAGTAATGCAAAGCTCTTTCCTTCCTCAGGCATCTCCATCTTCCCTTCAACATTCCAATGGCTCGTTCTACACATGATCGAGCTTTTACGTGAGCATTAGTATAACGAGCAGAAGGTGATCCTTCTGGTTGCCTTAATTTTGGTGTCATCAAGTAGGGTAGTAGGGGATATCCGGAATCCCCTATAATAAAATTATAACACTCATTATAACACTTTATTTGTACATATATATATTACCAACATTAAATTTTTTTAAATTAATAACTAAAAAAAATTGTACACATTTGTAATTTATAACTTTAATTTGTAATTTATATTAATAAACTTAAAATAAGTTTAAATACTATTATGTTTTAAATTAATAACAATCTTTTAATAGAGAGAGAAAGAGAGAGAGAGAGAGAGAGAGAGAGAGAGAGAGAGAGGAGTTTTACCTAATAACCAAGTATTTATTCGTTCATTTTAAAACTGCTGTTCTAAATGTATCGAAATATGGGAAGCATTCCAAACGCGTGCATCGTGGGTCCTTCCTCCATGACCACTGTTTATAGCAAGTATTTTTCCATTTAAATCACCTTAAAAAATATTTTTAAAAATGTTATATTTTTTTATGATTATACTTTTACTATTAAAACAAAAAATTTTTGATTAATATACTATTAAAACGTTCAATGAATGATAAAGTTTTCGATTAATATATAGATGTTCC